CAGATGTCAGACCCTCAGAGATGCATGAGTTTTACTACCTCTCTCTTCTAGAAAAGCATACTATCCGGATTCAACGTCAACACTTTAAACTGGTCGGTGCGCCGCCAAGGTTGATCGGTCGTCAGCTGACCAAAACTTTTAAAACTCACCGCAAATTATGGTTTAAAAGGCAGAGTAGCAGGGGCTGTTTTTGGCAGTGGCCCTTTCTGTATCCTTTTGGTGACTATGCTACGGCCTGTGGCAGTTATATAGGGACACCTTAGCTAATCATGTACTTTTTCCAATAAGGTTTTCGGAGGTAATTATCCGCCAGCAGCTGCGCAATGGCTAGTAGTACGGGCAGATGAACATTGCCAACAAAAGCGACCACTTATGGCTGACTAGCCAGTCATACCCAACTCAAATCTCGAACACGCAACCGGCTGAGTAGGGTTTTGGGCTTCTGAGTAAGACGTCATGGGCTCTGTCCTCGGATGATGCACCACCTGGGATTGAGTTTGACTGGCTGATGATGGCTAATATGCCAGAGGCTTACTTTTGATACCCTTGCTGGGTGGAAGGAGGCGAAAAGGGTTGCAATACTCGATCGAGTCGTCTTATTCTCAATTGAGTTTGACCGGCTGATGATGGCTAATATGCCTGAAGTGACCATTCAAATCTCACTTGTCTTTGCTGACAGTGTTCGCCTGCGTAAGCCAGATGTGTCCACCACAGCTTCTATTCTCCTTTCGTTATGCGAATATATTTATATATAGTGGAACCTCGCTTAAAGAGTTTAATCCTTTCTGGCGCCGAGCTCGTCATGTGAAACAATCGCCTTGCGAAACGTATTTAAGAAGGAGACGCCTCGATCGCTGGGACAATTCGCCTGACGTTTCGAAATTCGTCGCGGATTCATCATTAGAGACAGTGGCAGAAACGTAGTTAATCAAACTGCATCACTTCATTGATTGGCTACAGGTGAGCAGGGACCCACGCCCCGGGAGCTACACTCGACGCCGGACACAAGCACGCACTGAAAACTCGTTAACTGAACGGAAGCTTGTCAAGCGAAACTAACTTTTCGCTATTCGTTGCCTCGTTACCTAAAACGCTCGACACCCGAGGCGCCACTGTATTAGAGCTCTATATTGGGTCCCAAGGCACGACGGCACGAGTATTTCTGGCAGTCTGCTTGGAACACGACGCTCACACATCGATCCAGCTAGTTTTCATGTATGAGTTTAAGTAACAAGCAAGGAAAACCTTATTCGTTTTTGTTTTGAGCAGAAAGAAAATAATAGTGAAACCTTTGTGACATGCAGATGCATGTATTTTTCATTTAAAATCAATGTTAAAAAAGTATGGCATCGAATGAGCAATATCAATAGGGCGAAATGCAATCGGTTTTATCGGAGGATTAAGATGCGCGCTTTTGAATGGATTATTGGAATTCTTTGAAGAAGTCGAGTATGTCTGTGTAGATGACCTTCGTGGCATCTAGACCCCACACAAAGTCTAGATGGTTGTAATAGGGCAGGTATCTGTCACGAATGTAACTCCGTTTCGGCAATTCCTCGAGGAGGTTGATGACGTCGTGAGGTGACGCAAGCCAGTCGTCGCCACCCCAATAGAGCTTCAGTGGAATGTCCATGTTGTTGAGGCCGTAGGCTGGGGGCGTTGTTTGGTTATAGTGCGCCATATTCCCCACCCTTCCATAGTCAAAGGCTTGAAACTTGCCATGTGACATACTCTGTAAGCACAAGAGTTATAAAAATTGAATTAACAGTCCAGCAAAAAGAGTGCACTCTATTTACACTTTTTGCTTGTTTCCATTTGCGGAAAATTTTACTTAATCAAGATGGAATCTACTTTCATGTGCCTAGGACCACCATGGTGATACAGTGGTGACCTGGAATTAATCTATCTCATTCTACACTCGTAACGTTCTCACGACGAGGTGGAGTAAATTGACCTGCAGATGGACAAGGTCGAACTGACGTAAAAGGATAAAGTCGTGTAAGTTGTTCCGAGTTGGCCGCTCATTTGAAAACCTCTCAAGCCCTGGCTGTTAATACGTGTTGACAGCTGGGAAGCCTTTTCGGT